TATTTTGGTACTTGTATTTCACATGAAAATCATATACGCACATGTTTCAACTTATAACTTGTAGATCTGTTACAGTAGATGCATGTGATATGTGAGAAGGGCTGGCAACATTAATAGTATAGGGTTTGTTGATACATATTTGTGATAAGTGCATGGTTATATAATATGTTTCATAAAGTTATGGGCATTTTAATGCTTTGTGATTCCTTACGATTTTAGATCGTTCCATGAATTGACCTATATAGAAGTTTTTCATGTTTTTATATTGTATGCAACCAGCCTACTCACGCATCACACATATCTACCATAACAAATCCACTAGTTTCTGAGCTTAAGGGGAATATCAGCATATGTGTGCACGCATGCACACAAGGCACAATAAGAAAACATGCAACTCATATATTTAATTCACTGAACTTGAAAATTTAATGCATATTGATTGCTTTCTATCCAAATAACGGAAGCACATAATCACATGTTACTAACAAACATTTCATTCCTGTACAACATCTACATATCACAATATGTCCCTCTAGATAAATGCTGCCATCTTTGTGTAAGTGTGTGTGTTACACATGGATAAAAATAAGAAAACATGCAACTCACCACATTTAATATACAAAACTTGAACAGTTAATGATTACTCGGAAAATATCTCATTCCTGTATGGAACTACATATCAAAGTACTTCCCTCTTCCTCAGACTGATAAATCAAAGAGAAACTTACGTAAAATTTTTTTAAGGAAGAAAAAAATCCTCAAGAAATTGTTATACCATTCTATTCTAACAGGAGAAATGACTTAAGACATACTAATGATTGAAAGGATTTAACTCTTCTAAAACAAAGAAAAGAGAGATTGATTGTGGCACCAGTTCATCTATTTGTAGAAACTGATGGACAATTTATTTACATTAAACAATAGGAGTTTTATTCATCCATAAGAATAAGCATCAAAGAAAGCAAAATACCAATATTAGAGCTATGTTAGAGAAAAGAATTTTGGCAAATCCAATTAAAACAGGAGGAAATGTCTACTAGCAGGTCATAAATAATAAATAATAAATATGTGCAAAATGCAGAGATAGGATACTGGAAAACATAAGGACCAGTTTCTATTGACATCTTTGATGCTTCATTCTGCCCTCTTGAAAGATTCTTAAACAAAGCCTTAACTTGCTGCTTGTACATTTCAGCATCTTTCAAATCACGCCCATCATCCAGTCCCTCAGCCAACGGTAGGCCATCAGTGACACGAGCAATCATTGTCATCTTCACCATCTTCACTAATTCTTGTCAGCTATCAATATTGCTGCCATAAATTCATTAAAGAAAAGGTCATGCAAAGCCTTGCTTATCAAGTGGTTTTACCTTCAATTTTTGACAAGACAAACAAACGTCATGTCATTTTTATATAACCACTGCTTCATTTTCTCCTCTCCAGAGTTCAATAAAGTTCAATATATACTAAAAATAAGCTGTCAGGGTACCTAAATTTAGCCATTTAAATGGTGTAATGCAATAACCACAAGAAATAACTGATTAATCCTAAAATTCCACAAGCTTTTACTAAAATAAACAAGGTTTCTTAATTACCACCCAGAAAGACCAATTCTAGTAGCTGACAACGAATAAGTGAAAAAAATTATTAGCATTAACTGAAATTTAATAAAGGAAAAGAAAATAAAATAAAGATCCAACCATTCTGGTCAGG